TTACTACATTTAGCCATGTACAACAGGATTATTAAACTTACAAACCTAACAGAATTGAGCGATGTAAATAATTTTAATTAAAAAATTGTAAATATTGTACATTACCAACTTTGTATGTAAATAGTGGCCGCCAAAAATGTAGATTTTAAGAACAGAATTTAGGAATAAAACCGACAAGGCCGAAAGGCCGCTTGGTAAATTTATAGTCTTGAATTTGGCTTAAGTCAAATCTGTCTAGTAATGTACGAGCGGTTGTTACATCTACACATATTTATTAATCTACATAGTAATTTCAAAGCCCAATACTTTCTTTTGTATAGTTTTATGTAATCGGCAAGAACTGATCTGTTGCTTAAGTCAAATGTTTATAGTCAACACCAAGGTGTGGTTCTTGGTGGTGTACGCAAACTTTGCCAAATTCCAGTTGTACGCAAATTTCGCTGTACGCAAACTTCGCGGTATTCTTTATTTATGGTCTTGCCCTATTTCAAAAAAAGATCATCTTATAAAAGGTGCTTGAAAAAATATTCGAAACCCTCCCAGCATGGAGTTTTCCGGCTTCCTCAAATTCTCTGTACGTCCGCTCGTTTGTCAATGTCAACGTTGATGTTGAAGACCAAATTGACAGTTGGAAATGCCACATAACTTGCAGACTCAAATATAGAAATCCCCGTAATTTGAATAGCGTGAGGATGCCAGCAGTCCCTGGTGGTCGCCCGTAACAAAGACACTGTTGTGTGTCAACAAGGGATTAGGATTGCCCGTCTACCTGTTATGGGGGGAGGACGCCCCGACTTTAAAGTCAGGTTATTGAACCGCGAGGGAAATAATAGCTAAGGTAAACCAGGCCAGATTTAAATTAAATGTGCCGCACACATTATGTCAGTAGTGACTTGATATACGGGACTTGTATTAAGTGTACTGTACTGTCAATAAAGGGGTTCCAATGATTTTAATTAACTTTAATACTGAAATCATTTTTTTTTGTAAGTAACACACTGAGTTAATATGAGTAAATATGGTATGGTACATGTTATAATGACTTTTTTAACATTAAATTTGAACATGAGGTTAGGTTTCTCCAATACAGCATATGCAGACTCACGATAATCTGAGCCCCAATTGATCAAGCCTCCGTAGATAACCAAGCTCATAGGAAAAGTATAATAACAATTAAGCTATTAAAACCGCAAAAATTAACGTGAAAAGTTAAGTTTCTTTCTTTTAGTGCAATAGTAAGTAGCAACCAGGTAGCAGCATTATTCTTACTAACAGTTGTTCGCTCAAGCTGTTGATTACCACAAATAGTACGTTCGTCTTACGCGAAAATCTTAAGTAGGTAGCAATTGTTACATATTTTACTGTAGGTCCTGATTGTGATATTTTGTATATTCCACGAAGCACGAAATGAAAGAATCCTTATTCACTAATGCCTCATCTGATTCAAAGTACAAAGCTTAATCAGTTAAAAAAGCATTCTATAAACATGCTTTAGGTAGCAAAAGCGTAAGTTTAATGACAAAATAAACTGCAATTCTAAGCTCACTCTAAAAGGGCCATTACATTAGTTTGTCATCGCTGGAGATCAGAAGTGTGCCTATGGGTCGGGAGCACACCCGAGTTCGCGTGCCGAGAGCCGGGTCTTTAAAAAAGTGGCCAAAAAAGCTTCCTATATTCCAGACGTGTTTTTCAGTATTAAAAAAGTAGAAAATTTATATAGGGGTGTATAGGTCGAGAGCCAGGTCTTTAAAAAAGTGGCCAAAAAAATGAGCCACTCATTTTTCCCGTATAAAAAGTGCCCCCTTATAGCCTCTAGCCTCTAAAACGCCGAAAGTGGGGTCATATTCTCCACTACTGTAGTGTACAACTCTAGTGATGGTGTATTAGTTGGGTGTATTAAAATACAGTACAAGTAATAGTGCTCAAGTTTTAGTACATTGGTGTAATCTGTTGTAGTGAACCTCACATGCCAAGTTAATACAGTGGAACCTTGATAAGAAGACCCTCGATAACAAGTCGCAATTGATAACAAATGTCATTTTCAAATCCCCTTAAAATTATTTTCCCTTTAATCACATGTAATTACAAACCTCGATAAGAACCTGATTCAATATTCAATAGTCAACCTTGATAACAAGTCTTATTTTACAATCCCCATGAGAGTTTTGTTATCAAGGTTCTACTGTAGTTACAGGGATACAGGTAAGTCATTAAAAGTTGCCCTTGATTAAATCGTTTAAGTAAGGTTATCATTACTATAGAATCATTTTTACCAGGTGTTCTGTAGATGCATTGTTATTCAATAAATCAATAGAAATAGCTCAAGGTAGATTTCATCGACACTAGCGTTCCAGTGTCACAAAATATGAATTAATACACTTGTTTTGGTAGAGAGTGAGGTTATGTTACGTATGCATTCACTGAGCTATAAGAATATAAGAGTTATAATGTTATAGCTCAGTGTATGCATTACGATCTTGGTGAAAAAGTGAGGTTAGGTCACTTGACAGGGACATGTTACACAACCATAAGAAATACCGGATATGAAACAGTTAAGTACTAGTAGGGCTTAAACCCTAGGCCCACACTAAGCCTTGTTAACTTAAACTTTATATACCATACTAAAAATCATAGTAACCAGAAATAGAACGTTTTGGTGACTGGAAAGGATCGAACCCGTAAACAATTGCTCTAGCTCATACAGAGCTTCATACACAACCAACCACTAGGAAAAAACATTATTCAGACCTCCCATCATCCCAAAAATACATGGCATCTATGAAAAAATGTAAATTTAACATCCAACATTTGGTGGCCTTTACAAAGGCCGTTTTTTTATACTCAACGGTAAAGTTCCGCAGCCTTCTTTTAGCTGTTTTTAACATTGGATACGTGAATTATCATTTGTTTCAGAGTTGTTATGGACTACAACATGTAGATAATGTTTTTTTTAACACGTCCTGTAGGTTGTCATTTACCACTATAAACACTGTACCTGTAACCGATACCATACCTCAAAAGTCAAAAGCTATGTCCACACTCATGCGCTTTCAATTTCAAATAGCTACGTCCACCCACACTCGTGCGCTTTTGTGTGCGCCAAGCGCATGCCTCTTAACGCATGCCTTAATGCAGATGGACGCAAGTGACGCTTGCCTCAAGGCATGCACGAAATGAGTCGGAAGGGGCACCATTCCATAGCGCACAGCGTAGCGCAAGACAATCCACCAGCCTTTGGATTTCTGTGCGTTTCAACTTGCAACTGCTTTACATTTTTGACAAGTCGTCTGTGTTGCAGTTGTTTGAAGCATATTGAATAACTAAGAAACCTCAGAATTCATAGAAGATTGTTGCTCTTATTTATGTTAGCGGGACATACGGAGTAATAAAAAAATTAAAATAAATTGAATAAATTAAGATTACATTAAGAAAATTAATAAATTAAAATAAAATTAGAAAATTTTGAGTCCTATATAGTACTTCTTCATCTATATTATCCGATATGGTTTCTTACGGTTTGGAACTTTTATTGACACTAAACTTGCCGCACCATCCCTCCTATCAGAATATTGACGTCCTAATCGAATTAGGAAAAGGTATCTTGAAAGTGAGGATGGTGGCGCATAAGTGTGGACAGCTAAAAGGGGCTAAAAGGCATGCCTCAAGACGCATGCGATATTGTTTGCGATGCATGTTGAATTGAATATTGAATTGAAAGCTGAAAGGCACATTGAAATTGAAAACGCATGAGTGTGGACATAGCTGGGATTTTCAATATAGTATTTTTAAAGAGATCCAGGCATTGAGAATACTCGATTATCAGAAAAATCCTAGGTGCTTTACCTGAAAATCCTCGAAAATACTCGCAAAATCTGAATCCTCGCATAAATCCTCGCAGGGTCTGGAAATCCGCAATTGGCAACACTAAGTTTATATGGTTGTGTGCTGTGGTTGTGCTGTGCTCGTTGTTCATGTTCGGTTGTTCGGTCGTTGCCATAGCTCAGTGGTTGTTGCAGGTTGCTTGCAGGTGTATTTTTTTAATTTTATTTGTGCTAGACCTGACATACACGTAAATATACGACGGCGCTGAAGGGCCACCAACTATAAAAAAATATTTTTCTTAATCTCTGAGAAAAAACTTAGAATTCTGAGTTTAAAGTCAGAATATAACAAGTGGGCGTTCCACTCTGAGATTAAAGTCAGAATTCAACTAGTGGGCGTTCCCCTCTGAGATTAAAGTCAGAATTTAACAAGTGGGCGTTCGCCTCTGTGAAAGGAGTTAGAATTCTGAGATTAAAGTCAGAATTGAATTGTGGGCGTTCATCTCTGAGATTAACGTAAGAATTGGACTTATCTAGTCTCTACTACCACGGCCACCAAGGCGGCCGTGCTACTATACTCTACTGTACTCTTCTCACGGCCACCTTTAACTCCAGGCCGCGGCCTGGTAGAATTGGCAACGTTGCGAGTAGAAGAACACAGTAGAATAGACAACAGAAAGGATATTTATATTATTTCTTTTGTCTAAGGTAGTAGGGATGATAGCACCGATATGCAGATAATATCGTTGCAATAAGAGAGGAACGCCCACAGTTCAATTCTGACTTAAGAGTTGAATGCCCACTAGTTATATTCTGACTTTTTTCCCAGAGAGGAACGCCCACAATTCAATTCTGACTTTAATCTCAGAATTCTAACTCCTTTCACAGAGATTAAACTAATCTCCTTCTAGGATTAAACTAAGGTCCTTCTAACTCCTTTCACTCCACTTGTTAAATTCTGACTTTAATCTCAGAGGGGAACGCCCACTAGTTGAATTCTGACTTTAATCTCAGAGTGGAACGCCCACTTGTTATATTCTGACTTTAAACTCAGAATTCTAAGTTTTTTCTCAGAGATTAAGAAAAATATTTTTTTATAGTTGGTGGCCCTTCAGCGCCGTCGTATAAATACATACGTTGAGTTGAGGTTGAGACTTGCACTCACTGCTTGCACTTGAGTTCGAGTTGAGACGTAGAGTGGTGCTGGTGCTAGACTATGCCTTTTGCGTTTTTGGTTATGTTTAATGTCTAATCTTTTATTATTATAAAACGTATTTATTTCTCTGATCCTGATCTGTGATAAAATCTTGTTTCTTACAAGATGAATGCTGCCAACAGGATTTTGTTGTGTTCGGTAATAAACCCAAGGATATTCAATGTAAGTTGGCCGGTAGTCTACGGTACCTGTTATTGAAAACCTCGGTATGAAGTAAACCTTGATTTATTTTATTTTCAACGGAATTTCCAGTTTGTTTGATGTAGTACTAACTTATTTGTTTACAAACATTAAGTTATCTGTATCAATGTATAAATATAATAGGCCTGGTTATGCTTTGTGTAGGCCTACAGTTGCAAGACGGCTAAAAAGTATTAAATAACAACTAGCCTAGCCTATAACATTTTGATACGGTACTTAGACACAGGCAACAAAAACAAATAACAATGATATAATAATTAACAACAATAACTAGCAAAAACAATGACAATGACGATCACCCTTTGTACTATCCACGAATACTAGAAAAATACGTAGGCCTACTAAGTTAACTTAACCATAAATAACAAGGAAAACAGGCGTGTTTAAAAAAATAAATATATAGAGGCCTAGGCCTAGCTTAAATAGGTACCAGTAGGTCTAATCCTACTAATATTATAAATGTGAAAGTTTGTTTGTTTGAAGTTCAATCACACATTAATTACTGGACAGATTGGGCTGAAATTTATCATGATGATAGCTCACATTCCCGATTAACATAAGTTATAGGCCTAGGCATATTATTATCTCAAAAATCCTTTCGGGCGTCCCAGTGGCTCTGGATTTACCCATGTTATGCATGTTATGCATATTGTATTAGTGTAACTTATACAATAATGTACCATAATGTTGCCATTTTTGTGATATTTAGATTTGTGTTATAAAGAGTTGGCCATATGTTTGTTGGCCGGAGAGATGAAGAAAAGTCATTTGTGTCCTGACTGCGATCAGGCGACTTACGTCATATTGTATGATTTCAATAACTTAAAGCTCCCAGAATTGGCCACAACCCATCACGCCACTTTTCCCTCTACGTTTAACCGCCGATCCAAAAGTTTCCTTGCTCTCCAGTCCTCAAGATTCCAGCAAATCGTAAACATGTAGTCGGCCGGGTTTCAATTCCCCAAATGGTGTTTTTATTTCAATCATTGCACCCCCAAACGTTCCAATGGCGACGAAGTACGAAAACGACTCAACGCGTGAAAAGTTTTTAAGTGATTTTAGTTGACAATCGAAGTGCACCGTAGGAAGGTACATGTGTTTTAAAAGTGACAATTGAATTTCTAGTGCCCCGTAGGAAGGTACGTGTGTTTACAGAAGAATTCGGTCAAGTTAACTTCGAACAGTGCGTGTGAGTGTGAACATTAATGCCGCTTGATGAGAACTTTATTAAATTTCAAGATGGCGTTCATTGGTGCGATCGGTCCGTTTGACGGTTCAGAAGAAACGTGGGACTCTTATATTGAACGTTTCGAGTTGTTTGTTGTACATGTAACGATATTAGCAACGCTAAGAAGGTCAGTACGCTTTTGACGGTCGTCGGAGTGAAAACTTATAACCTGCTAAAAGACCTACACCAGACAAACCCGCTACTAAGAGCTACGAGGATATTGTACGTATTATTAAGGGACATCTTCATCCAAAACCTTCTTTTATCTTTTAGCCGAAAGGTATAAGTTTAGCCTCCGAACACAATTAGAGTATGAAATATGCGTAACCATTTTTCTCATGTGCAGCAAAGTTCCTTATACTTTGCACACTAGTTAAACAAATAACTATTTCCTTACTTACAAACACTCCACAGTTACTTGACAAAGTGGGCTTCTTGCACTGATTATAGCATGCAAAGTAGCTAATTGCTGCATTTACTTACTTTTACAAATAACTATTAAAATGCTAGTTTAATATTGATTTTTCATCAACGGCTTTTTAGGAGGTGCTAGCCTGAATTTCCTTATCAGGCAAACAAGAGACTAACCGGGTTTTAAAAACCTTTCCTCGAGTGGAACTGTTTCTGTTTCAGATACCGTATTCAATTAACGTTTTTAATACTGTACTGCTAGTTTAGTTTAGAATGGTTTTTGTCTACAACTATTAATATGCTCTGCCTTTTTAGTCATAAATTTATGGCTGGTGTAAGCAGTACTATAATTTTGTGGTTTAAAACCCCTAAAGACTACTTTAATAAATACATTTGTGGTTCAGGTGCTGAATAAGAATGTTTTGAAATCATCTATTTGTACAACTTCAGAAACTTTTAGCAAACATTGGAATCCAAAGTTCAAGAAGCTTCGTGCAAAAAAGGTAAGTTAGTACTTAAATATGCGTATGCCTGTTACAATTTACTTGATTATCAAATTTTTCATGTTCCCTAAGACATTTTAAATTACTAATTTACAATTTAAATTACTAATTATGTTTTATAAAAAATTAAAACAATACAGATAAAATGTTTAAACAGATCTTTTTACTGCCCACTCAGTAAACCCGAACAACTGTAGGCCTAACAACATTTTCTCTACATGTTTTTATATTTTTCAGTAACCAGAAAATAGTTTTGTCTTATTTTCAACTCCAATCTCAACATTATTTTAATGAAGACTGGGTAAAATTTAATATTGAAACCAAACAATATATCAAATACTACTGTAGCTGCTATATCCCTGCTTCGCAACAGACAGAGGACATGGAAGAGAATATTGTGATCCCTAGGTCGTATGACACATCCATAGTTCATTTTAGAATCACAATTTAATTAACCGCTTAGTTTGATTCAATTATATTTCTTGTTATTCAAGTTAGGGGTGTAAGTCTACTGGACAACCTAGTATGGTGTATAATGGAGCTGTTAAAAAACACTGTTTAACTATATTATAGGAAGCTCCTTAACTAGTTATATAGGTACAACTAAAACAATCACCTCTAATATAGAAGAGCGCATGAGGAAATCTCCGCGCTAAGCACTTACAAACACGATAGGATGCACGCGGAGAAAACCTCCGGAAACTGACACCGCGTCACAGAATTGCAACTGACAACAAAATAAGGAGGAATTTGGGGGTAAAAATTGCTTAGGGACATTCCCGGGATGAGGTGCGTGAAGTATGGAGCCGGACACGACTGCCGACACCCATTATGCATAATTATTTTAACAAAAACTACAAGTGCGGTTCACAATCGCCCGCTCGAGGGTTAGTCAAGTGTATTATAAGATGGAGAGGTAAGAATAGTTACCGGGGCAAATACCTAGTATAAATCTTACAGAGTATATTTAATTTATAAATATTTTTGGATGAATCAACATAAAAATTTATATCCAAATCACGAGTATATTTTCCATGGTGTCCATAGCAAAATATTAGTCCTGGAACCCCAAGTGAAGAGTTTTTAAATTTGACAAGCTCTTTATATACCTAGCCTAATTCCTTTATACAAAACCTAAAAGTTTTAATTTTGGAGTTTCCTCTTTCTTAACCCTGTTCTAGAACATGGTTTTGAAAAAGCTTACATTTTATTTATTTTAAGGTAATTAAAGTAGAGCTACCAGATTATGATAAAGCTTCAAGATCAGTCAATGAATTATCCAAAGAAGAAATTCGATCTATTATGAAAGAAAAGGGAATCTTACCATCATCACCTTGGATGGAACGGCCTTATTTTATAAGCACAACAGGCGAAATTGTGGAACCATATGTACCACCTGAAGGTGATGGAAAAGTATCATTCATTACAAAAGAGGTAAACAACTTATCATAATAATGATTTTAGTTTTTATTTATTCTATTTTTTATATTTTTTTGTGTTTGGGAAAGCTAATCTGTCTACCAGGTAAGCTAGCTGATTCCTAGCCCTGTACTTCTTATCACGATAATGTTATAGTAGTTTACGCAACGATTGCGTAAAGATAGTGTTAACGACACGAGTAGAAAATTTAAGGTACGAGCCTTGGCGAGTGCCTTAAAGACTTCTACGAGTGTCGTTAACACTATTAACGCGAGTTGCGTACACACTATTTTATCTACTATAGTGTTTTAATTACTAAAAATCACTACTCATAACTTATAAGAGAGGTTATGTTTTCGTTTATAGCCTCTCATTGTCACTGACAGTGATGTAACGAAACATTGTATCAAACACTAATTGCACCAATCAACAATTAAATTGGCCTGAACAGCTGATTAGTTGAATTTCAAATCATTACAATTTTACTTTTCCTCTCTCAATCCTTGAACCTCATTGGTCGTTACCAGTGTTGTTATGAGTAAAAATATGCTGTTATGAAAGTAAACAACGCTGTTATGAGATACTTTTCAATTTAACTGTACTGAAACAGCTACTTTAAAAAACTGTTGTAGGTAAAATATTTATAATCATAATATACTAGTAGCTGTGCTTTGCAATGGGGAGTAAAAAAATAACAGTGCTGTATTCTGTTGTCAAACCTTGTAACTTTTTTTAATGCTATGAACATCATAAAACACAACTTATTGGTTTATTATTTTACAGTAGAACCTCGTTAATCCGACCTCCAATGGTCTGACTCCTTGCTTGGTCCGACCATGCCGCCAACACAATAGGCTACCGCTAACATTTGACCTCATTGTCCAAGAAACATACCTAGAAAACTTTATAAATTGTATTTTTTAGTCTAATGGGCTGAAATTTGTTGTATATTTAACCATTTCTGCCCATTATTAATAATAAGTAGGCTAGATTATTGTTTTAAAAAAATCACAGTTCATTTGACAAAAATAAAATGGAACCATAACAAAGGAATGTCTATCAAAGCTTCAAAGTCAAGCTATCCGTTTGCACTGACAATCGTCTGCTCCTTAGGCCTGCACTTGGCTATGTCACAACGTTTTGTGATTGGGTATTTGGTAATCATGACAAATTTAGTAGCCCGTGATTGGGTGATTAGTAACCATGGCAACTTGTTGAATGGGTGGATGAAGAGAAACTCAAGAAAGAATAGAAGAACAAAGAGAATGAAAGAGCAATGTTTTTATGTCATTGTTATCTTTATTGGTGTATTTAACGACTGTTGTTATACTATGCTATAATTAGGCTACTATGATTTTATACTTGTTTATGAGTTATCTAATGTTTTTATCGACATTCTTCTGTCCTGAAACAGCGTAGCAGTAGCCTATGACTAGCAGTAGCTTACTAGACTTTCTATTGTTCTGTTAATTATTTTGCTGTACAATGTTTGGAAATTTGTTTGTTTGAGTAAAAGTTTGAAAAAGCTGTGATTTTAAACGCTACATTTTTTATTACTGAACCAAGGTTAATGACATAACATAATCATAATGATTGCGCAATAGCCTACTGATTGTATTTGAATATGATGTAATATGCTAATTATCACATTAAAGTCCATTTATACAGTTAGTATTATTAGGAGTTGTTTATGAGTTGGAAATAACTGTTTTATGTCATGTTGGATTAACCGTGGTTATCAGTTATCTGTGGTCTGTTCAAAATACAGTTTTACTACGTTTTTATGTCAATGAACACGTCCTCTGATAATCTTTTTGCTGTTCCGACCATGCTCCCGGTCCCGTAGATGACGGATTAGCAAGGTTCTACTGTAAACAGCTGTGAATATTCTTTGATTCTTTTTAAATATGGATGATACCCGTAAGGTAAACATAGGAAAATCCAGAACTATATGGGTGGAGCCACAAGGGAGCTCAAGAATGGGGCTGGGACAGAAACCTTCCCAGGAGTGTATAGAACAATTTCCAAAAGTTTAGTCATGCAATCGGATAGCCGGTTTGGTGACACATAACTGGCTGGGTAGCTGACATGATCATGTGCCAATAAACATGATTTGATTTGAAAATTAGCTATACCCAAGCATGGGATTGAAGTTTTTAAATAGTTAGATGAACCTTTGAAATAAATCATATAGGCCAGGAAAACACATTTTATGTCTGATTGGGCTGACCTTGAAGTAGTAAATGCAAAATCCTCTCTAAAAATTATTGTTCATTTTAGCTTCACACTCCTTGTAAACTCATAGCCAAGTTTTCTTATCACAATTAAAATTAAATATTCAATCTAACTAAAGTAAACTTTGTTTGTAGTACAATACATCATAAGGATTTAAGGTTGTGTTGAGGAGGGCTACCTTTCTGCACTAAAATGTTGACGGTCCAACCCGTCTTTGCTCTAAAAATTGACAATGTGGCCCTTGAGTAAGAAAGGTTGGAGACCGCTGTGTTACAGAATATAAAAAATCACAAAATGGCAAATTTTCTACAACTTTTTATTTTTTTTTCTTTCAGGGTAAGCAGCTACAATTTGATACAAGTGTTAGTAAATAATTTTTAGAAGGTAATTAATAAATAACACCTGTAATAGATCAATGAATATGTTTTAGGGGGCCAAACAAAATATAGAGTTTATCGGGAAGAAAGGAAAGTCCTTATTAGCATTAAGAAAACTTAGAAAGTTTGATGACGATTTTGAGCTAGACGATTTCTTGATAACAGCCCAGGATGTGTATATGAAAGCTCACAATGCTATGATGAAGTAAGTAAGCTTATGATACAAAACTTGCATTTTTTTGTATGTACTTAATAGTGGAATAACATTTATTGGCTGATATTTTAATTACCTAATTGAATTTGGCAACCTGAAATTGTCTAATTGCTTCAGTGACGTTGCCAAAAGCAATAGCCCACGCACAACACTTAACTTTTTGTTCAACGTTAAAAGCCATTTCTCGACTCCACTTTCAGTAAAACAGTACCGAAGAAAGTTGCTATGTTTTTGAAGTTGGTTATGTTTTTATGGCTCAAGCGAAATTTTACAATCAAACAGCTGTTCTTCAACAATGAGTGTTAGAACCGCAACGTAGTAAACAAATCAGATAATGAATCATGAAAGTAGTTTTTATAGGAAGCAAATTGGTAAATTTTACAATATGCCGCCATTTTGTTTCTACTAAGGTTAGGGAGTTGAAATTTTTCCAGAATATTTTAGAACCTACTTTGTAAACTGTGTAAAGTTTAAAAACGTTCGGTGTATGAATGGGCACATAATATAAAATCAAACGTTTAAACCCCTTCGTGGGATACCCGGGTATATATGACCATTAGCATGATAACTCGAGCAAAAGTGATCCAATTTTTATGAAATTTGGTTTAAACTTGTAAACCTGCATTTATTCGAACAATTTCGCAAACCAGCATGATTGGACCATGGGGATTTTATGGGGGGTTTTATAGGGTAAAAATAGGTTTTTCTCATATTTGACTCTAAAAACATAAAATTTAGCAATTTCTTTCCAAACCATTTTGTAGAGCTTAAAAATCTAATAATTTAGTATATTGAAGCGTTATTATATGCCTAATAGTTACGGAGAAAATTCCAAAAACAATGTAAATTTAAAATTTCCATGTTACTCTTATGGAGAACTAGCTGTACCCGCAGGCTTTGCCCCGCTTAACTTCATAAGTATTCGCATGGCTCAATCACGTCCTGGTTGATGTTCGTTCGCTACGCTCACTCACCTTCAAGTTGGAAATCGTTCGCTGCGCTCACTTGTTTTCAGGTTAGCTCGTTCGCTACGCTTACTCGCCTCCAGGTTGATGTTTGTTCGCTACGCTCATTCACCTTTTATTTGCAAATTAGCTGTTGTCATACATTTAAAAAAGTCATCCCTTTTATTGTTTATAATACAGTACTTTTATGAAGGTATTTATGTTTTAATATTTAACATTGAAGAATTTAAACGTTGTTAAGTGCACAGGTGTGCTGCGATTGGGGTTTAATACATTTGGACTTATTCAAAAGTAAAATAGTTTTCTGTGCTGCAATCTGTAGAAACACTGTAGCGCTATTTCAAATCATGACTAATGCTAATACAGAATGTTACAGTTGCTAATACAAAACAGTTGGTGAAATAAACATCTGCTTTTAAATTATATTTATTTGTAAACATTCTAGATCTAAAAGTCTGACATTGGCCCACTTAAAACCCTCTGGGGCAGAGCCCTTTTGACGGATCTGCACCAAACTTCACTCGAACCATCCTTGAAAGATGCTTAATAATGCCTGAAAGTTTCATTACAATCTGTCGAGCGGTTTCGGAGTCCATAACGTATATACACCTATATATACATACATACATACATACATACATAGTTCCTCTTTTATAGATATAAACTGTTGTTGTTTGCTTGTTTATGAGCATATTTTGATCGCATTTTGGAAAATGCATTTATTTCATACTAAATTATTAACATATGAAAAAAAAAACTCTGGGGCAGAGCCCTTTTGACGGATCTGCACCAAACTTCACTCGAACCATCCTTGAAAGATGCTTAATAATGCCTGAAAGTTTCATTACAATCTGTCGAGCGGTTTCGGTGTCCATAACGTATATACACCTATATATACATACATACATACATACATACATAGTTCCTCTTTTATAGATATAAACTGTTGTTGTTTGCTTGTTTATGAGCATATTTTGATCGCATTTTGGAAAATGCATTTATTTCATACTAAATTATTAACATATGAAAAAAAAACTTTTACCCTCCCTGTTGCAGCAAACCTAGAGTGTACTCATTAAACTAATGCTATTTAAATAGGGAATAAATGTGATATTTTTAAGGAGACATTTTTGTGTAAATCCAATTAGGCAAGTGGAAATTCTCTTAGTATGCAGGTTTGCTGTGGCGGGGGTATTTAAATAGTTAGTCCTACCTTAAAGAGGGGGGGGGGGACTGGGACACCCTATCATGGCGAAAGACTTTTAATGTATATTTCACAATCTATAAACAGTTCTTAAGATATTAGTATAAAACTTTAAAATTTGGAACAACTCCAGCAATTGCGACAAAATCGTATACATCCCCCATTATGGTGAAGAATAATAGTACATTCCTAAACATTGGCCGTGATGGCAAAGAAATACATCATCACCATATAGCTCTGTTAAAAATATTAAAGACAGACAAGACAAAAATTAATAGGATTTGACAAAAGATAGATTAGGCATAGATTATTACAAGCTCTAAGCGGTGATCATGGATAAATTGAGAGCACCTCTCGTGATTGCAAAGACATCATCATCATCATCTATGGCAATTGCAGCAAAATTTAAAATATTTCTGTGTTTGCGGCAAAATTATTGCATAACAACCAATAAACTGAAAATATATTTTTCACTAGCCTAATTAGTTTTGGCTTTTTTTTGCTGAAAACTACTGATAACCGACTTTATAATCTGATCGCTGATCCTAATTTTTAACTTTCACAGCGTTTATAATGTACACATAATAAATTCCAAATTTATTTAATCTCCTTTGTGATCCAGGGTTCGCGAAGATAAGGAGGAGCTGCAGCTGTATGTCACGGAAAGAGCCTATCCTGTAAGTAACCATCTATGCTTTATTTTCATTCTTAACTCCTAATACTTAAACTCATTTATAGTATATTGACTTTTCTTGATATTTTGATTTAACCCTTCGCGGACGGGTGACGGATATATCCGCCTAAGTCTTTGGTGATAAAGGACGGGTGACGGATATATCCGCATATGGTTTTTGATGTTCCGGACGGGAAGCGGATATATCCGCCTTCTCTTCAGACAGACTGGCAGGTGCGTGAGCAGTAACCAGATATTTCGCGGTACCAAGGCGCCACTTTCCTGCTCTTTCCATGACTCCCCCGCACTCCCCCTTTCCCGCGCCAACCCCTCTCCTGCGCCTCACCCCTCCCGGGCACCTACCACCACTCCTACGCTCCCCCCTCGACGTTTCTTGCTCAACATTACGTTGTCTTTATTTATTGTTTACATTATTGTTCTTTATTTATTGCCTAACGTTGTCATGTTCATATCTTCAAAGACGGGTGACTGATATATCCGCTGCATTTCTACTCATCAGCGGACGGGTAGCGGATATATCCGCATAATTAAAACGAGTAAAAAATTATTTTGACAGTATAATGTGTTACAATGTGTTTATTTTTTGTATACCTGTATAACAAAACACAAAAATGAAAAATTATTTTTAATTTTTTCCTCTAATTTTTTCCCGTCCTATGTCACGATTTTGCCCGTCCGGGAAGGGTTTTAATAAAAATATACAGTAGACTCTTGATAATTCGAAATTGGTGGGCCAAGCATATAAATTTGAATTATCAAGAGTTTTGAATTATCAAGAGTTTGATTTATCGGGAGAAAAATAAACCATTCGAATTACAGAGAGTTCATTTGTTTAATACACACAAAGGTACAGCACGTTACAACCAATAAAACATCATACCGTATTTTAGTACACTTTTAAACAATCAACAGCTTATTTTTCAGTTACTGTAGTTGCAAAGAAATCTGTTATTTAGCGCTATATATTTCGCCAATAGCTGAACTATCAGCTGTCGACAACTACGTTTGTGCTCAAGGAGATGTCGCGCAATCTAGAGATCGGATTCCCAACTTAGAAAAACAAGTCAGCGAACTAACTCTGACTACTGCTTTAACTAAACAAACATCAAAACGTCCAACACTAGCCTACCATGGGAACGGGATGTACTGTACTGTATAGTTTCCTGTTATAACAGGAAGAGATCACTTCGAATTATAGAGTGTTTTGCCGACCAAACTTCGAATTACTGTGTGACTTTGATTTATAGAGTGTTTTTTCGACGAAACTTCAAATTACAGCATGACTTCGAATTATAGAGTGTTAACCGACGAAACTTCGAATTACTGAGTTACTTCGAATTATAGAGGGTTTTTCCGACGAAACTTCGAATTACTGCGTGTTACAAATTGACCTGCCCTCTATTTGGACTTTGAAATACCGAGTGTATCAAAATGCATGGTAAAAATTTGAAATATTGAGAGATTCTCTAGGGACTGAGCCTTCATTTTGAATTATCAAAAGTTTTGAATTATCAAGTGTTTGAATTACCAAGAGTGGACTGTACTAGCACCATCTGCTTGCTTGCTTCTACAGTTCTACTAGCCTGAGCTATATTAATTATCTTATACTTTAGCTTGTTTTCTCCAGTTTAATACTCTAAGAGTCCTCATGTCTCCTCTAGAGTGGGCTGAAAAAATCAATATTTTTTTTTCGAGATGTAATACCTTGGAAAATTTTCTAAACTATAAGACCAAAACAGGTTAAAAAACAGGTTAAAAATAGTAAAAATATCTGTCGTTATCTTCCAGTTGCGCATGTCCTCTAAAGTTTAAGATTAAAAAATTAAAAACTCATAATTTTTCTGAAATTTTTAATTTTTTAATTTTGATTTTTAACAGTTAATAGTTGAAAATTTCATTTAGAAGACACTTAGGAATTGATATTTAAATAATAATATTGTATGTTAAGATCCTCCGGTCGAGGATCGGCTGTAAATATTGCCTACAAACTGTAGTATGGGAATTGCCAAAAAAACAAATCCATATCTATTAAAGTATTTCTATACAAATCTTATTTTTCAATTTTCTTTCAAATTTATTATGAAATATTTTTGTTTATTCATCACAAAAATTTTGTTCCCTGAACTTTGATTATTCCATACTACAGTTTGTAGAGTAGAATGTCGAATGTCCCCTTCAAAATAGAAAAAGTATTGGTTTATGTAAGGTAGCTATATCAGAACTTGAGATATGTCTTTTTCCGTATACGGGTGAATCTCACGAAATGGTTTAATTTAAGTCCCAGCCAATATTATGTACTAACAAATAAATAATTGCCAATAAAACTGTGTTTAATTACTTCCCTCAATCCCTATTTTCCATCGCATTACTATTTAAGAATAAAAAATATTCAATTTATTTACTTAAGAATGTTTATTTCACGAAAATACAATTCGGTAACGTGTCCTCGACTATTGTCTGCTACTTGACTTGCAAACAAAACATGCAATATGTGACGAAAATATCAATGACATTTGTCAAAATGACAGCTGAAGACAGTAAAAGAGGCAAATGCTAAAAACACAATATACCATTGACTAAGGAAGTTATATTTTCAACTTTTGTTGGACGAAACGAAGTTGAGGACTCAGTATTGACTTTTAAAAATTCCATGCTATTTTTTTGTTAATAAAAGGATTTTTTATTACAGCATTAAAAAATCTGATTCTTGTACCATGCATATATTTTTTTGTGTAGTTCTTAATAAACTATATTCCAATAAATGTTGTGAATGTTTCCGATTTAACTTAACTCAATAAAGTTAGAAATTAGTTTCAGTCATCCATATAAACTCATAAATAACTGTGAATTTAACGTAGTAAGTTAGCTGTCTGAAAGCGTTATGAGGATTAATTTGTTTTAGGCTTTTATGAATATAAATTTCTCCATCCATTGTCGGTTTCGGCGCGAATGATCAAAGGAAATTCGTGTTCAGTCTAGTTCGGTGCTCGCTTCAGTGTGACCACATCGGAGTGACTCCAGTCTGGTGCTTGCCGGTGTCTACATTACTGCTATCAACAAGTTGTTTAGGTCAAAGGTGGTTTATTTTGTTGTACTACAATTAATTATTCATATTTTGTTAAACTGTGGAGTGGACTGATGACAAAGTGTTGGAGCTAATTGAAGAATACAAAGCAAGGCCAGTGTTATGGGATCCTAGTAGTGCTGATTATAAACTGTTAAATAAAAAATTTAAAGTTTTTAAATTAATTTTTTACTAAGCAGTTAGTCTGTTTAAGAACTGCACGGTGACGATAACAGGGATGATAACTTGTGGTGGCGGAGCACAAGCGAATGACGTTTCAATCAAGACGATTTGTGTGTGTTCACTTTGGTGTGACTACTCCTATTCTCAGGTGTTCGCGAATGCTAGCAAACCACAGCGAACAGCAGTGAAGGTTCGGTTCACTCCTGTTCACTCTGGTGTAACCGTACCTTTAGCGTCAACCTTAGTCGCATTAGAAATACATGCGAACCTGCATTGGCGATTATCTAGGAAACCCTTTATCAAATCATAAAAAGGGTGGTTTACTAATTTGTTAGTTATTGTAAATTCTCCCAATAAATTAAATACAAATTTTTTAGTTTTAAGAACTTCAGTGTGATATTAACAAACAACTTTATTTCGCCGTCATTTAACCCCCATACCATAAATTCCTTCTTACAAATGTGCGTCTACATGCATAAACTTTGACAATAAATTTCATCTCAATCTGAGCGTTATCATGCTCATGTTGTTGCAATGGCTACAGTTTTGGGCATCGGGGACCCTAAAATTAAAATATAGAATTCACAAGCTAAGATATTACTGTACTATAACTTATTTTCAATCTCTAAAATTAATGAGCAACAGTTTTTCAATGTGTTTTTTTTTTTTCATAATACAATATGTTTGTAACACATTATGTTAAGAATCTAATATAGGTATTAAGATTGTAACATATTTGCTTAACTTGTTCCTGGAGCCTACCAGAGATTCATGAGGATAATTGTTAAAAGTGATCTATATCATTTATGAGTTATAGTCTTTTAAGTTAGGTTACTTGACATTTTCTTTAGCCTACTCTGCAGCCAAAACCATGTTAAAAACAAAGTTGGTGAGCTACGAGGGCCATTTCTTTAAGAAAGGCAGTTTTTAGGTACGGATCCATACATCGCTTCTACCTCACCGCTAACTGGTATCATTTGTAAACAGATTGACACAATTTATAGCTCTGTAGCTACCATGTATGCTTCGCTGTGTTTGAAAAATTGTTTAAAAAACCATTGCATCTCCCGCCAGGTGCAAGATAAAGTCAATAATAGGATTTTTTATATAAGAAACATATCCGATGCCGACATCCATGGCCAAATGACTGAAGGCTAGAGAGCATTAATGCACTGAGTGAGATAAAAGGGTGGAAATGAGTTCTGGAGTGTAAAAATGGCTGTGAAATATTTTTTCTTCGTGGTCTTCTGTAGGAAGTTTGGGTAGGTGCCTACCCTACAAAAAACACAAATTCTTCCTATATGAACATTTTCACGGCAATCTGTTAGCCTAACTCTCTAGCCTATTTTTGCACTTAACCAGCTATCATTTTGTCAGGGTCACAGGGATCTGGTGACAGCATTCAATATGTTTCTCATGTTAAAAAACCAATCACTTACCTTATCTTGCACGCGGCAGAAGATTCAATCAATTATAAGCTTAAACACAACTTCAAAACACACAGTGAAGCGTAGACCTACATGTCTGCTACAGAGCTGATAATTGTGTCATTCTCTTCACTAAGGATACAAGTAAGTGGCGAGGAGCCTTGAACTGGCGTACTGGCAAACTACGGATTAATACGCAATCACAGCTCTAACTTAAAATACCCCTACCCCAGCAAACCTGCCGGCTAAGCTAATTTTCATTTGCCTGAATTAATTTGCAATTAAATATATTTAAATAACATTAGGTTT